CTTAATGACTGCACAAGTTGCCAAGGTAGATAATTGTTTTACAAACAAAAAACTATTTATTGATCTATTTATGAAGCTATCTCTATTCTTTTAATAATTCTATTCATTTTTACTAAAATTAAAATAAGTTAATTTTTTGGGAAACATTAAAACAAACAAACACATACATAAATAATCATCTTTTTTTTTTTCAATTAAACAAACTATAAAGATGGAAATAGAGAGTGATATATCGTATTTGTTTAACCCAAGCTGATTAAATCTGATTAAGTAAATTTTCTACTCATTTTTACTAAAATTTAATAATAAGTTACATTTTGATGAAGCAAAAAAAAAAAAAAACACACACACACACATAAATAATAATATTTTCAATTAAACAAAATATAAACGATGGTCTAAGAGAAAATAAGCGTTTGATAATCAATCGACTTTGAGAAATGATCGATATGACTATATGTTTTTTTGCTATCAAACACTCACTTCTTTCTAATGTATATACCTATCAAATAAAACAAGTATAAATTTTATAGCAAAATGTTTGAATATAAACTTGACAGAGCAATAATTGTTATTTTTTAAAAAACTTCTTATTTATTATGATTAAATAAAAATATATTAATTATTAATGCAAATTTTTAATTTGCTTCTGTTCCTTTTCCCATTTTGATTGTCTCACTAGAAATAAAATCCAACTTTGAAAATAAGAAATCAAGAAAGTTTGTCAACCACCATAAAATAAACAAAACCCTCTTATTAGCTGCTAATTTTTTTGAGATTTCTTATATTTGTATTCTCATAATTTATAGAGAATGAAATGGTAATGCATATGATTTTTTTCTTCTTTGTATGAGAATAGGATGCAAGAGTTATACGAGACAACGATTAGATGACAAAATTTTGAGCATTTGTAACATATTTTTGCCTGTTAACGAAAAAAGTTCATCTCATCATTGTGAAGATGAGGTGAACCAAGTCGAGGGTTGTCGACTGCTCCCTCTTCCTCCTTGATTTGAAGCTGGCAACTGGTCTCACTTTCTCAGCGATACGTTATTGTTTGCGGTTGACAGGCCGAGTTATACTCTTCTTCCCATTCTTTTCTTAATTTCTTCCAAATTATAACTGTTGGATGGTAAATTTTCCCACTCTCGATGAGTGAATGTATTTCTTCTTTGTTTTTCAAGGAGAAGGGTTGTCATATACTTTTATTTAAATATATATAAACTATAATTAGAAGGGTTCATTGGTTGGACTTAGGGCATACCTCATTTGATTGAATAATTGATCGTTTTTCTTGAATGCCTATTGCAACCCGATTTCTTGAATGTTGAAATAGAAAGAAGAGTTGTGATGGTTGTTTATTATATTTTATGTTCATGATTGACATGCTACTAGCTAGCAATACAATGATGATCTGTTTAGTAATTAGTAGGTAGCAAAGAGGTTCTAAGTAGAAGGGAACATAATTGGGGTTTTATAAAGGTTGCGAAGAAGAAAGAAAATGATAATGGTGGTTTCTCGGTTGTCTATTTCGATGTTTTTTAATTTCTACATGTTTGCGGTGACATTTGTTTGTTTCATTAAGGTGAACTTTTCCGCATTGAATCCCTAACTAAATCTTGACTTTGATATGATTGTTTTCTTACAAACTACTATTTGGATTGATGCATATATTCAGTTCACAAATGAGGAATCTGCATGATAAAATGAGTTGAGTTGTATTGAAGACCGCTCCTTTCATTATTTTTCTATGTTGTTATTAGGTAAAAATCACAATTCTTTTCTGCAGGAGATATGTAGCTCTCTACAAAATATAAATTGTATTTAAGTATATGCAGTTTAATTTGCTAAAAATATTGCTTTAATAAGTTTGTGACAGCTGATAGTTAGGTTTGTGGTTGGTTTTCTAGAACATTTCAAAGGTAATTAAACGAGTACGTGGAAGATTGATGGACGTGGATGCTAATGAGTTTCCTCATTATTCCAAAGTTGTATGTGTAAGTGATAATACACGATATTCATGGGATTTAGATCGGAATATTCTCTATTATCGTATACCGACATATGAGAAGGGAGAGAAAATAAAAAGCTCTTCGTTTATTTTTTTATTAATTGAAGCATATTTTCTTATTCTAACTTCTTCTTTTGTGACTATAAATTTTTTAACTTCTTTATCACAATTGTGTGCTAAAGAATGAATAACTCTTATGTTTATAATCTTAAAGGGCAAGTTCGATAAAAAAAAATTCTAAATCAATAAAGAACAATCTACAAAGAGCTCAGTTAATAAAATTAAAATGTTCATAAATAAACAAAAGGTATAAAAGTATGTAACAATACCTGAAATAAGGTAAGTGGGATTTACAATTCCATATATATTACCTTAACAAACATAAATAATAATAACAATTAGAATCATGGTTCAGGAAATCGTACCGGATGTCATACCGGACTCATCTGTGGTAGGTTATTTTGTGGTACGACCATGGTTCAACCGTTGTGTACCGGTAAAATATCGTTTTATAATTAAAAAATATTTTTTTGTTAAAAAACCGTATCGGCAGATTCAGGATACCATCTCGGACTAATACCGGAATAAAACCGGAATATGCCGAATAACAAATCTGAAGAACTAAATAAGCATTGAATAAATTAAATAATCATAAGTAATATAACAATCAACAAAGTGTAACATACTGAGGGGTCGTTTGGAAGTTGTGATTGTTAGAGTTGTGTTTGTTGAATACATGTATTGTGTACAATACAATGTTTGGAAATGTCAAATTGTAGGCCCCACCAACAATCACAAAAAATGATGCATTATACAATCTCAACTAATGATTGTTGGTTTTAGATTTGTGTCAACTTTTTTTTCCATTTATATCCCTAAAAGTTTTTGTCTTATTCTAAAAGTTGAGGGTAAGTGTGACATTTCCCCATAAAAGTAACTTTATGTAAATCAATGCCTAAAGTAGAATCTCAACAACCAAACAATATATTGTTAAAATGCATGCATTGTATCAATACATGCATTATATTGTGGTGATTCATTACAATGCAACGATTTAACATTCGCAACTTCCAAACGACCCCTGAATAATCTACATTATCGTTCAAAAAAGCCATATTTCTGCCTTCACCAAATATTGCCACAAGAAAGAGGAACAGATTAGAGAGATGTAATTCATCTCATTCAGGACCAACCAAGAACCAAATAGAGCATTATACAACCACGGTGACCCATTTTCAACATAGAGCAATAGCCATTCCTTACCTAATTAATCAGATTAATTGACTATCACTGGCTTTGGGATGGAAAAGAGCTCGACCTATTCCTCTGATGCGGCGTTCTTGAGCAGGGGAGGGAGACTCCAGCAGGGATCGGCGTGGCGTTCTTGAGCAGGGTAGGGAGACTCGAGCACGGTCGGCGCGGTTGAGGAGGAGAGAAAGGAGCGGCGGAGAGGAGGAGGGACGACTCGACTCGCCGGTCGTGGGTCGCCAGATAAGAAGAGAAAAGGAACGACAGAGGAGCGGAGCGGGGATCGGCTCGACATTTCGCCGTCGCGGGTTGCTTCTTTCCTCTCGCCGGTCGCAGGCCGACAGTCCCCAGAGGGAGTGGAGAAGAGGAGCGGCAGGGATGGGGAACAGGGGAAGAAGGAAACGACGTTTTGGATTAGGGTTTTGTGTTTTGGCGCTGTTGAATGCCGATTTTAGTGCTTAAAAACGGGGACATATTTTTTCAATAAGGCTACCGTCGGTTAGACCAAAATCGGCCGGGTTTTCTGTTTGTATCGGTCAAACTGAAAAAACCGGCCGGTACGATAAAATCAGCACATTCAGCCCACTGTACCGCTTTTGGTCCAATTTCCGGTTGAATCGGTTGAACCGACCGGTACGATCCGGTTTCCTAGTCTGATTAGAATACTATAACGAATTATAAAATAACAAAACAAAATACACCGCCCAACGGGCGGGTAAAAAACTAGTTAATTAAGTGGAAGGGAAAGGAGTGGCACGCTTGGTATTATGAAAAATTGGGGAAGGGGAGGGGGAACTAGCTGTCCTTTTTGCATTAAATTTGAGGAAGGGAGGGGACCACCAAATTAGGCCAGAAACTGCTCAAAGTAAGTCAGAACCTTAAAGTAGGCTAGAAGCCTAGAACCTCCTCAAAGTAGGCTAGAAGCTCAAAGTAGGCTAGAACCTCTTCAAAGGAGGCCTGAACCTCCTCATAGTAGATCAGAAGATTTTCAAAACAAGCTAGAAATTTCTTAGTAGTAGACCTGTTTGTAATTTTTAAATAGTTTCGGTACCAAAATGTAAGAAATAAGAATTTCAGGTACTAAAATATAATTTTTCATCGATATTTTTAGGCCTAAAATGTAAAAAAAAACTTAATTTTCATATCTATGAAGTTCAGAAATTAAAATTGTAATTTGTATATGAAATATAGAAGGAAAAAGAAACATAAATGAATGGGAAAAAAAGTAAAAGAGAAAAGAGAAGGAATAGTTACTATAATACCCTTATAGTAAGTGTTAGTATGATGTTAATACTTAAACATGTTAGCTCCTATACAATTCCCAACTATTTCAGTGATGGAATAAAGTTTAATATTTCTTTCCCAACAATAAAAAATGGGTAAATTATAAATTTGGTCACTTGAAATACTATAAAATTCCACGTTTGCCACTGGAATTATTTTATTTCATTTCTAGTCACTTAGATTAGTTCAAAGGTTCAAATTTAGTCACTCTTCGTTAGTCTCCATTATGTTTATTCTATGTGGCGATCAACATTCATAGTTGACTGTTAAATAGCTGACATGTCTATTTAAAAAATAATAAAAAATAAATTTAATATTTTTAAATTTGCTCCTCGCTATCTCAACCCATTCAAAATAAATAAAAAAAACTAATTTTTTTAAGCCCTCGCCACCGTTGGAAGCGGAAACTGGTGTTCGGAGACGGAGAGCTCTCCCGGAGCGCCGATCTGGTCAAAGACTACGAATCACCCCCGATCAGTATGATTGCAAGAACATAGAGGATTGCTACGATGATTACAATCACTAATATGTTTTTCATTCCTCCGCAGCCGCCATCGTTATCTAGATCGGATGCGGTGTTGTTGTCCCGATTGGCTACTTCCGGCTTCGCAACCGTGGTTTTGGATTCGCGATCCGGATTGAGATCTGAGGTGAAGGACCATGATACGGTGGTGTGGGATTGCTACGCCAACGCCGTTGAAGCGGAGAAAACGAGAACCATCCAATCCATCATATCGACTCTGTAATTCAAATACATTGACCAATAGTTGTATATATATCCTACCTACTATGAATAATACTCTAGCCATTTTCCCTATACCAGGTACATTTGTCGTTGTCGATGGCGAAGGTGAAATCAGAGTTGAAGTTCGCGACGACGCCGGTGGAGGCCCATTTCAGGTGGAGGGTGGTGGGTGAAGGGGAGATAGATAACGTCGATATTTGGGTCGTCGAGGAGGGGCTCGTAGGAGTCGTAGATTTTGGCGTCGGGAGGCAAATCGTTGGCCCTGGCGAATCCGGTTGGCGACGACGGCCATTTGTGCGTTTGGGGCTAAATTTATCGCCCGAGATTACGGCCGTCAATTTGATTTAACACACACGCCAACCAATAATCCTCGTGAGTTTCATCTCACGTTAATCAAACATAACGGTTGCACACCCTACTCGCACTTTTTTTTTTTTACCAATAGATCACTTGTATTACCAAGGCAAACAGCTAGAAAAGTTCACATCTCAAAAGCAAACCAACGCAAAAAGTCAAAAGTATCTACAACTGCAGGCAACAAACAAAGGGTCTTCCTAGCCACCTCATGGGCCACCCAATTGTTACTCCTGTTAATAAAAGCCACCTCGAAGCGCAGGTAGAGCTGTATTAGCTTCCGAATTTCTTCAAGAATCCGGCCACCTTTCACATCCCGAGTATCCCTAGCCTGAATTTTGTCAATGACGGCCTTCGCATCCCCGTAGAACTGCACTTCAACTAGACCCTTCAAAGAGCACCACTGAATTGCATCACGAAAAGCCACCAACTCAACCAAAAAAGGATCCTCCAAACATGAATAACGAAAGCCTTGAACAAAACACACCCTACCCACCCTACTCGCACATAACTGACAAGGAAGTCAAAGAATCAAAAGATCATCACAACAAACCAATAAGAAACCGTATGGTTATTTAATTTGTTGCACCTAGAAATACATCAAGAATCTTTGAATACAAATAATTAAAATAAAGATGACATTTGAAGAAACCTCCAGGCCCAATGACGTTGTCATGACATATTTGTAAGGTTCCTGCCACGTATATTTATACGGCTGTCATGTAATATATCTATCATATAAACTTACGTAGTTCAAAAACTAATAATAAATTTCATATCATTCTTCAATATTATATACCGTTAAACGAAGTAAATTCATAGAATTTGTTGATGTGACTTGAATCGGACTATCAGCCCCTACGACTGGAATAATCGGAGGTTCGGGTTCTAGACCTGGTCTGTAACCGTTTCTTTATCAAATTGGATTAGGTGTAGACCCAGACAGTAGCGTAGCCAGGATTTTTTATAAGGGGGTGCCAATTTTTTTAAATAAATATATTTAATATGAGAAACTATAAATTTATGCAATGACTCACAACATTTTTCTACTCTAATAAAAATTGTAAATTACATATTTTTCATCTAACCTATCAAAGACCTTATTGTCAATATATCCTATCGATTAGTGCTTCATAATTTTGTTAATCATTCTAATACATGGCGGGTTACGGTAAAGACTCTCTAGTGCTCATGAATAGCCAATGAAAATCAGTTGAATGGAAATGTAGAGTCGAGCGCCTTAGCGACCATGTTTGAGAGGAAAAGTTTTGATTGGAATTGAAAAAAGAAACATAGTTAAATGCGACCACAATAAATTCACCTAGTGATATTGTGACGATAAGAATATGGTTCCATGTACAAGGTTTCATTATAAACAATTTAATATACTTTAAACTTTATTCTCACAAGGCAAGGGTGTGCCAAGGCACCCCCCTAACAAGCTCCCTCCGCCCCTGAACCCAGGGGCGTAGCTAGAGTGTAATAAGGGGTGTCATGGCACCCCCTTAGATTTGGAAAAAGAACAAAATATTAGTAGTATTAGTTAGTTAATGATTATATTTAAATCCTAAATTTATATATCAATCATCAAATCTTTTACCGTTAAATCACAACAAATTAATAAATTGATTTCATCTACTAATTTCTACATGAAAATTAGTTTCTATCAATGTATTTGCTTGTGAAAATAGATTTGATTTGCTACTATCATTTATCGATGCACAAGTAGATAACATTTTATGCTATGAAACGATTGATTAGCCTGCATCTAGTGAACTAAAGTAGTGAATGGTTATTCGGTGGGATATATTAAGTGTGAAATCTTGATAGTTTGGCTGATTCATATAGTTATAGAATAATTTTACAATAAAAAACGCGAGACCGCATATATAATTTTTATTATGGCACGCCTTAAATAAAATCTTGGCTACGCCAATGTTTAGACCCACATGGAGAAGTACAAATACTTCTCATCTCCTCTGTAATCTCCCCGATATAGTGAAATGACTCTCTCTCGCCCGTGGACTAGCTAACACACATCGTGTTAGTGAACCACATAAATCATGTGCCGTGTTTTCGATTCTCTCTTTCGTATTCTTACTTTGTCGATTCCAGCGATTTACCGATCCTAGCAGCGCGTTTATAACAGACTTGATGTTGATACAATTTAATTATAATTTTTTTTACAATCTTACCATATTCAATAATTATATCTAATAGAGTATTGATGCTGTGAGAATCTGAGTACAAGAACCAGTTTTGCGAGTATGTTAAGTCGAAGACGACACCTTCGAAATTTAGGTTTAAAATAAATATAAACTTGTAACAAATTTAAGAATATAAAACTCAATAGTAGATATTAATCCGTCAACTTTACTAAAAAAATTGAATTTCTTTGAACTTCATTCTACTATTCACCCAAAAACTTTACTACCGTTGAAAACCTCTCGTTCAAAAACTCCTAGGAGGCATTGAAAAAAATGATTTGGGTCATAAATTCACTGAATTTATAGATTAAACTGAAAGTTATGTTTTATTGTTGTTTTTTACAACAAATTTTACCTTCAAAAATTTCGAAGATATAGAAATATAAATATCTATTAATCGAAAAAATTTTAAATCTTGATTTTGAGATTTTTTCCTTTTGTTTTTGTTTTTGTTTTATCTCTTCCTCTTTCTATTTATCCCACAAAATATCTTTACTACTTAATTCACAACATTTCACGAACCCCTTTTCTTTTGGTTAAGGATGACTATATTATTTACATTAAATGTCAACTGGAGGATCATCAAACAATGAACATTTTAAAATAATTTTCAACAATTCAAAAGGTTAATTTTTTTTAGGGTTAATTGCATGGTTGGTCACTGCAATTACAAAAAACGTTCAAGTTTGGTCACTCAAAATATTTAAATTCATTGGTGGTATTTCAGTTTATTGAAACCGTTCATGTTTGGTCACTCTCCGTCCAACTCCATTAACTTTTGCTGATGTGGCAGTCAACTCTCAAAGTTGACCGTTAACTTAGTGACGTGGCAACTAAAAAATTATTAAAAATAAAAAAATAAACTTTTATATTTTCCACCTCATTATTACATTCATTAAAAATTAAAAAATTAAAAATCTAATTTCTTTTATTTTTTAGAAAACGAGACTGGCTTCCCTCCCGCTGCCGGCTCCGATGCTTCCTCCGCCTCGCTAAACAGAACAGTAACAGTGAAACCATAAAACAAAACTAATAGTTGATTTGGTAACGTAATGGATATATATGGCGATGGCTACTTGTAGCTAACTAGCTTATAGATACTAAGCGGAAAAAAACTCACTTATATTCCTCAAAAAAACAAAAAACAAAAAAAGTAAGCAAAATCCTTCATGGAGAACTTTGGTGCTAGCAACATGAACGGAGATGGCGGCAACCACCACCACAACAACAACTTCGAGCTGCTGGACTTTATCGCCGACGTCAACTTCGACCAGTTCGTCGACCTTATTCGAGGCCGTAACGACGATGACGACCAAGCCGCCGGCGGGGGATTCGACGATTGCGACGACCTCATCCACTCCTTGCTGGTCGACAACTTCGGCGGCAGCGCACCACACCACGACTTCCCGGCCTCCGCAATGCCGCTGCAGCCGCCGCCGTTCGACGGTGGGGGACATTACTATGCCGACGAGGTGGCATTCACTGACTTTATCTGAACTGGAAGTCGAAGAATGAGAATTCATCTCATTGATATTGCAGCTGGGCTGGAGTTACTCGATGGAGTTTGCAGAGCTTTTGAAGAACAGAGGCAGAAACGTTTCGTTTCTGCCTCCCCTTCCACTCAACTTGAACGAAGGACAAAACGTCGTCGTGGAGTCTGGAATTTACCGTTGGGTGGAGTTTTAACGAGCCAACATGAAGAAGACACGTGGCTAGCTTTTACTGTTTTATTTTGTATTTCTGTTTAACCTCCATTTCCATTTTTACTGTTGCTTGTTGGTTACACCTGAAACCCATATATATATGAAAAGCTGGAGATCAGATCTCCTTGCGGGTTTTCCCCATTTGATACCGCCTTCTTCTTCTTCTTGCGAAACCCTAAAGCTCAAGGAGCTTTTCTATATGGTATCAGAGCTGGACTAAGGTCCAGATTACTTCAGCAATGTCAAACACACCTCCTGGTCCTGGGTCTCCCTTCCCTAGTGGCAACACCGGTATTCCTTTTGGATCTTTCTCTCAGACTGGAACCACGAGCAACAACAGCAACCCAGGACGCCCAGATCTACAATTTGGTAACCCATTTTACATTAACCCAAATGAGAACATTTCTCAATCGATTGTGTCTGAGAACTTAGATGGCCCAAATTATCAGATGTGGCAGCGTGCTATTCGCATGGCTTTGAAAACCAAGCATAAGCTTGGGTTTATAGATGGTTCTATTGTTATGCCCAGTGTGGATGATACTAATTATGCCTTGTGGGATGCTTGCAACACACTTGTGTTGTGCTGGATTTTGAATTCTATTGAGAAAGAGATTCGAAGAAGTGTTATGCAGCATGAGAATGCGAAGAATTTGTGGGATGAACTCAAGAGAAGGTTCGGACTTCCTAATGCTGTTAAGCTGGCACACCTACAAGACCAGATCATAGCCTGTAAACAGGGAAACCTCAATATCACTCAATACTACACTGCTTTCAAAGGGTTGTGGGAAGAAAATTTGCAGTTTAACCCTATTGTTGAGTGTGATTGTGTGGTGCCTAGAGTTCGACCTTGTCCTGCAGTTGAGTCTTTCAAGCAGAAACAAGAGGTAGAATATCTGATTCGATTCCTCAAGGGTCTCAGGCCAGAATATGAGGTTGTTCATACACAACTCCTCATGATGAAACCTCTTCCAACTGTGGATGCTGCTGTCAATGATCTGCTTCAACACGAGCAGAAAATTAAGGGGGATAAGGGTACATCGAAGGGAGTTCAAGGAGTGGCTCTTGCAGTGACAGGCTCCCCTGGAAATCAGACTAAGGCCAGTGGAGGGTCTGATGGAAAGAAATTTTGTCGATACTGTAAGCAA